GGGCCGCCTTTCTCAACCCAAGAGTGAGCACTGTCCTCTCTTCTCTCCCGCAGCCCTGGTTCTCACCTGGGCTACACATCTGCCCCATCTTGGGAAGCTTCTCAGGTTCCCAGGGCCCACCGGGCCCAAGAATTAAACCAGAATCTCTAGGGGTAGGACTCAGGCGCCAGCATTTCCAAATCTCCGGGCGATTCCAAAGCGCAGCCAAGGGCGAGAACCTCCACAGGAGTCAGGGAAGAGACACAGACACCGTCAATAGCTTCCGCAACTCTGAGCGAAGTAACGCATAACGGAACCAACATGACTCAAGGCGAACGGAGATTAGCCAGTGAAGTTCCTGCAGCAGTGGTTGGCAAACTGCGGCTCTCGAGCCAAGGTTTGCTCTGTTGACTAATGAGTTTGCCGACCACTGTCCTACAGTTTCTCACCCACCTTACAACAAAACGACACGGAAGGGGGATGATGTTATTCCAGGACCTGTGCTGAGGATGCCCGGATGTGACGGGAAAGGAGAGAAACGGAAAGCTGCACACGGAGGGCAGGGAGCCGGGAGCCGGGAGCCGGCCCAAGACGCTTGCTTCCTCCCCAAGCCCGGCAGAGCAGCAGGGGGTGGGTGGGAGCAGCAGGTGTGCGCCGGCCAGGAGAGTGGCCCCACGTTCCTCTGCTCCCACCGCCTGCCTCTCCTGAGGACGTGAACCCTCCCCGCCCCCGGCATTCAGCAGCGTGGACCTTGGACTTGAAGGGGGCAGGGCTGCGAGTGAAAGAGTCGGGCTGCTCGGTGAGATGGAACGAAGCCCTTTGTGTGGGGTGCTGGACGTGGCGGTTCACTTCTTAATTCTCATCGCGATGCGGTTCACGGGAGACTCCTGGAATGTCTTTATCCATCACAGATGGTTTGGGGAGATGATAAATTAATATCGCTTAAATGGGGGGCCCAGCTGAGATGGTGAAACGGGCACCGTCTTCTTTGCTGGCTCCAAAGAGAAGGCGCCCCCCAGTCCATAAAGAAGACAAATGGCAAACAAAACCCCCTATCGCTTGACAGATTCCGGGACGCGTATCATTCACAAGCCATTCTGGGGAGAAAGGAGAGAGATTCATCTCCGCTGACTTTGTATGGGACAACGGCCCGCGCCATAATGAGGCCTTCGCGGGGCTGTGAAATCGTGCTGAATAGCCGGGGAGTGCAGCCGCCTGTTCCCGGGCATGTTTATTACAGGCCTTTGTACGCGCCAGTCCCGCCAGCCGGGTCTCGGTTCTGAACCACTGGAGAGGAAAAAGCACCCAACAAATTTGTTGCTACGAAACTTCCCAGATGGGGGACGGCATAGTAACGTCTGGAATCGAAGGCCCTTGCTCTGCACTGCTCCTGTCTGGGTCCACCCCTGCTCTGCACGGTTGGGAGTCAGCCAATCGCCAGGAGCTTACGGGTGGCCTCAGCCCCCCGCCGGGCCCCTCCCAGGCCTTGGGAAGTCGGGCGGCAAAGAGGGCCCTGAGGCCATTCCTCAGCTCAACTGCCAACCTGAGTCCGGAGCCAGAGGCAGTGGTCTCAGTTCCCCCAGAAAATGCACCGGAAACAGAGCAAAGGAGGACGCATTCGGCCTTCACCTGCAGGCTGGGCCCAGGTCAACCTCAGGAGGCCATGGCACGGGGGAGGGGGGGTTCTCGGCGACAAGGTTTTGGGAAGCTTCTGAGAGCAAACCCTGGGAGATCAAAATACCCGGCCAAATGCTTCCGCCAAAGGACCCACTTCCTTAACCCAGTGGCCAGCAAACTCATTCATCAACAGAGCCCAGTATCAGCAGTACAACGGTTGAGATTTCTTTGGAGAGCCGAATTTTTTAAACTTAAACTTCTAACGCCACTCCTTCAAAATAGACTCGCCCAGGCCGTGGTATTTTGTGGAAGAGCCACACACTCAAGGGGCCAAAGAGCCACATGTGGCTCGAGAGCTGCAGTTTGCCTACCAGTGCCTTAAACCATCCAGTCCGGGGAAGGCAAGGCAGCGGGCTCCCTGGAGAGGACGAAGAGACCTCCACCTGCAGATCTCAGGGGTGTACTTCCCCCGCCAGCATCTCGGCTCCTGACAAAACTGCAGGGCCTCTCTCAGTTGAGCAGTATCTTGAGAGGGGACTAAGGATTCAAAGTCCCCACATGCCTGCCCAGCGGGGGTGACATCCAGAAAAGCAGAGCAGAAGGGGAACCTGGAACCATCAGGTCACATTCTTCTTGCTCAGCACTCAGAGAGCCATTCTTCAGGCAGTGGCTTTTCACCACCACCAAGCCCTTTGGGGAATAGTTTCCCCCACCAATCAGTGTGAGGACCGGCCACATAGCATTTCCCCTCACCAATCAGGTGGCAGGATCCTGGAAGCATTGTTTTTTCTCACCAATCAGGACACACTGAGAGTTCCCGCCCTTTCCTGTCACTTTCCCCAGTAGAAAATGCAGGAATCCTTCTGAGCAGAATCCATCCATCCATTCCTCCTCCTCTGGGGGTTCTTCTCCCTGTGTTCCCGCCAAGACGGGCAGCTGCTATTCAGGGCTGAGAGGGAGCACACAGCCCACACGCTGGCCAAAGGGTGTGAAATAAGACCAGCCACACCCTTGCCTGCCTGCATCTGTTCCTCCTGGAAGCTGGGTGTCCACACATCATTCACCCAGGTGGTAGAGCCCCAGAGAATGGCCTCCAGGTCCCAGAATCCTGTGGCTTCTTGACATGTCACTCAAAGTGTAACAGAGGAGAGGAGGGGGAGGCAAATGGCAAGACGGCCAAGATGCTCCTTCCTGTCTCTCCAGGGGACACACCTCCCCCGCTCTGACAGCAGAAACTGACACGGAGAGCCCAGACCTTCTCACCCACCGGCCAATTTCCCCATTTATCCAGCTGAGTGGTCACTCTTGATCAAAATTTGTTGGCTAAATCCCCAAGATATATCTGTGTGCAAGCAGCTGTTGGCTTCAATTTCTTCTGTCAGGGAAAGACAATGAGCACTGGGGCATAGGTGAAGGGGTTGGATTACCTTCAATTATGCTCTCTGACAACCCAAAGCCCTCACTCCCTGGTCATGTCCGTGCTCAGGCCTTCCTGCCATGGCAGGCCTTGTCTGCCCAGGCCACTTCCTTAGTACCTGCTCAAGTCTCCTGGGGGAGAGGGTGTGTGGGGGGAGAGGGTTCTCACCTGGATGAGTTATTGTTTGATGTGGAAATAGCCCAACTACCTGTAGGCTTACGTTTCTCTGGACAACCACCAGAGGCAGCCTTCAGCCCACAGATCTGAGAGGGGAGCTCTCGGAGCCACCTGTTCGTTTGAAATCGAAGGGATTTCTCTCAGAAGATGCAGACTTGGAACCTGCTGTTTTGTTTTGTTTTGTTTTGTTTTGTTTTGTTTTTTGTTTTATTTTTAAAAAATATATTCAATTGATTTTTTTACAGAGAGGAAGGAAGAAGGGTAGAGAGCTAGAAACATCGATGAGAGAGAAAAACATTGACCAGCTGCCTCCTGCACATCCCCTGCCAGGGATGTGCCCGCAACCAATGTACATGCCCTTGACCGGGATCGAACCTGGGACCTTTTAGTCCGCAGACCGACGCTCTACCACTGAGCCAAACCGGTTTTGGCCTGCTTTGTTTTGTGGGTTTGTGGGATGTGTTTTTGGTGTGTGTGTGTGTGTGTGGTTTTTCTGTTTGTTTAAGAAAAGTGTTTCATACAAGCAAGGCCAGCTTCATGGGCCACATGCTCAGAAGGTCACATGGTGGAAGTTCTGATGTTGCCATTTTGAAATCCGCAGTAATTCCTGAACAAGAAGCCCTGTGTTTCCTTTCTTTGTGTGTGTGTGTGTGTTATTGATTGCAGAGAAGAAAGGAGAGGGAGAGATAGAAAATCAGTAATGAGAGAGAATCGTTGATCAGCTGCCTCCAGCACTCTCCCTACTGGGGAAGGAGCCCAAAACCCGGGCATGCGCCCTGACCAGGAATTGAACAGCGACCTCCTGGTTCATAGGTGGACGCTCAACCCCTGAGTCCCGCCGGCCGGGCATGAAGCCCTGTGTTTTCATTTTGCACGGGGCCTGCGGGTCGTATAGTTGTCCTGCGTACCAGTGCCCGACATCCGGTGGATTCCTGTTGAGAAGATGATACTCTGGCTTCGTCCAAAGGCTAAGCAGCGGCCACAGAAGGATTTCTCTGCTGCAGCTCACCGTCTGGGCCCGAGTCTGCCATGGCTGGGGTCCTCATGTGTCCCGCAAGAGCCCTCAGAGATATCACCTTGGGAAGCCATGCTCACAGCAAGCCCTGGCTCCAGGCTCCAAATTCTGGACCCAACGAGCCCTGATTCCTGGAATTCCCAGAAGCTAATGTGGGGTGGGGCTCACTTCTCCCCAATACCCTGCAGTTCCCTGGCTTTTCATCAGCTCCTCTGAGCCATCTCACCATCGCTTCGTTTGTGTTGGTGGGATTGAAAACAAACACGCCGTGTGCAGCCATGAGGGCTTGCTTCTGGGAACGAAAACAGTCTCCTTCTCCCATTCACGGTAAAGCTACTTGCAGGTGGATTAAATGCTCCCCCTGCGACCCTGCCCCCGGAGCTGCGCTGTCTGTCTGGGCGAGCTGGGGGGGTGGGGCCGGAGGGGCACGCAACATCCAAAGAAATCCGCCTGCCCGGTTCTGGTAAAATAGAGTCCTTTGTGCTGCGGTAAGCCCGGTGAACCTGACCCCCGCCCTGTGGTATGCAGCACACCTGTGCGAGGGACAAGCAGCTGGGCGGGGGCGGGGCGGCCTGCACCCTGGCGCAGATCACACCTCCTGTCTTCTCCTCCCAGTCACTTCTGCATCGCCCCTTTGTTTAGGCCTACACCTCCGAACGCCAGGGCGGCCGTGCGTGCGTGCAGGCAGGCAGGCAGGCAGGCGTGTGTGAGATCGTGGACAAAAGCAATAGGAAAGGAGAAGCACCGAGGAAAGAGAGGGGACAGGGTGCCCGCGGCCCCGCCCCCGCCGCTTACCTTTGCAGGCCTTCCGGTGGGTGATGGGCTTGCCCATGTCGCGGTAGTAGCCCTCCTTGCAGTAGTGGCAGTGGCGGCCGGCCGTGTTGTGGCGGCAGTTGAGGCAGACGCCCCCGCTCTTGCGCCCCGACAGCTTGTAGAGCTCCATGTTGAAGCGGCAGCGCCGGGCGTGCAGGTTGCAGCTGCAGGCTGTGGAGGGGCAGGGAGAGCATCAGGAAGGGGCACTGTCCCCGAGCCCCCGCCTCCACGGCAGACGGGCGAGGCAGACATTCCCCGGAGAGCTTCTCCTGGGCTCCCGCGTCACCCACAAGCGCTCCCAGACCGCCTGGCAGTGCCCGCACCCCGGGAGGTTTCCTCTCCCTCAGCACCGGCCCCCCAGACACACTGGGGTGAGAGGGGACCGGGCATCTCCTTGGGCCCAAATCCCGCTTGCCAAGGGCTGTCTTGTGCCTCCCCCATCCCAATGCTACGCTAACCCCGGACCTCAGAATGTGACATGTTTGGAGACAGGGCTTGAAAGAGGTGGTTATGTTACAATGAGGCAGTGAGGGCGGGCCCTCATCCAATCTGGCTGGTGTCCTGGGAGGAGGGAGTGTGGCCACGGAGCCGGACACCAAGGCACACACACAAGAAAGACCAAACCAGGCACAGGGAGAAGGTGGCAGCTGCAAGCCACCTGCCGCACAGGACCCCAGCCTTCCTTCCGCCCTCCCTCCTCCCTCTGCGGGTCCCTCCTGCTCCTCAGGGTTCAGCACCCTTTCCCTTGTTCACCCCTCACAGCACATGTGTCAAACACAAGGCCCGCGGGCCAAATCCGTCCCGCCAGGCCTTGCAATGTGGCCCGCACCGCGCTGTCATCACTGCACTCTGCTGCGTTTCCATCACAATGACAGTTTATGACTGTTCAGTAAACCATTCAGCCCGCGATTTAGGCTGGATTTTAGATTTTGGCCCCTTCTCTGATTGAGTTCGACACCCCTACCTCATAGCCACAGGACCACCTCTGCGCTCCTGACTCCCAGATCCATGAAATCAGCTTGGACTTTGGGGTCCACACTGGGACCAAGAGGTGCGTCCTCCAAATCCACTCACTGCTCTCCAGGCTGCCAGACCGCAGCCTGTCTGTCTCCTGAGCTGAGCCCTCTAGGCCAGTGTTTCCCAAAGTGTGATACGCGTACCCCCAGGGGTACGGGAAGAGTTTGGTCGGGGTACGCATTGCACCAGAGTTTGGTGGGGATATGCACTGCACCATGCTTAGCTGCGCCTAATTCTATGCTCTCATGAGTGCGAGAGATATTCAGCGTTACGAAAATTATAGAAGAGGTACACATATGTCAGAAGTTTGGGAAACACTGCCTAGGCCAAGCATGTCAAACTCCCGGCCTGCGGGTCACCTGCTTCATTTAAATAAACAGGTTACTCTAGGCCCGTGGTCGGCAAACTCATTAGTCAACAGAGCCAAATATCAGCACTACAATGATTGAAATTTCTTTTGAGAGCCAAAATGTTTAAACTTAAACGTCTTCTAACGCCACTTCTTCACAATAGACTCGCCCAGGCCATGGTATTTTGTAGAAGAGCCACATTCAAGGGGCCACAGTTTGCCAACCACTGGGTTAGGCTGTTCTCAGAATAGGAGAGCTCTAAGCATCTGAGGATGCCCTTCCCCTACTGAGCTCTTTCAATGGCTCCCAGGTTTTCCTCTGTATAAAATCGAAGTCATTTCACACGGCCTCGAGGGCTCTCGATACGCTGATTCTGCTCCCACTTCTCGCTCTTAAACTCCAGCAAACTTGCTTCAGGCTCGGTATGCCCTGTGTGAGGAGCTCCTGCCTGCCCCCGCAATGACTTTCCTGGCCTCTGAGGACCCACTTCTCCCAAGCCCCCTCCTCACCTGCCTGCCACCTGCTCACCCTCCAAGGACTGGTCTCCACTGTCACCTCCACCAGCCTGGCTTAGGCACGAGGGCCACGGGCTCCCCGGGCATTGGCACGGCCCCCAGCCCTCCTCACGCCGCCCCGGGAAGCGCGCTGCCCGCTTCCCCCTCAGGTCTCTGACACCGAGATAATTCGACCTTAGATCCGCCCGATCTTGCTCACTCTGCACCATAATTTGCCCCTCTTTGGGGCTAGGCTTGTTTTAAGTAGCATCTTATATAGTTTCTAAGGAAAGATGTGTTTAATGCCAGGCATTTAGAAAACAAAAGCAGAAAGGAAAAAAACTGCAGTCAAATTTCCACCAACTGCTGCTAACACGGGGTCCGTCCTCGCAGACTCGAATGAACACTTTTGCTCAGCTGTGGAGCAGTTTAACCCTGCAGACACGGACTACACGTGGGCATCTCAGGCTTGTGGCCTCATTCCTCATGAGGGTGAACATTTTTAGAGTCAGACAACGTTCTTCTTGATTTTGAAAGCCTATCTAGTCCACCACCGTCCGGACACGTGTCACGGGGCCACCTGGATCTGCAGAGGGTGCAGTGAAGCTCAGGGCCTCCCCCGAGCTGGTTGGGTGGTTGAGTTGCTCCCAGTGTTTCACTATTATGAACAACACACCGACAACCACCTCTGCACTCCCAAAATGTTCCTCTTATCTGATGACAGCTGTCTAGAAAGTTTCTCAAGACAGAGTTGGTAGCCGAAACCGGTTTGGCTCAGTGGTAGAGCGTCAGTCTGTGGACTGAAAGGTCCCAGGTTCGATTCCGGTAAAGGGCATGTACGTTGGCTGCGGGCACATCCCCGGTAGGGGGTGTGCAAGAGGCAGCTGATTGATGTTTCTCTCTCATAGACATTTCTAGCTTTCTCTCTCCCTTCCTCTCTGTAAAAAATCAATAAAATTTATATATATATATATATATATATATATACACATATATATATATAAAAGACAGAGTTGGTAGTTAGATTTGGTGTCTACACTAAGGTGACCAGACGTCCCGCTTTTGGCAGGACAGTCCCGATTTTTTGGAGGGACACAGGACAAATTGTTAGAAATCGGGACTGTCCCGCCAAAAGCGGGACATCTGGTCACCTTAGTCTACATGTTTTAATTTGGGATCCAAACTGCCAAATTCCCCTCAAAAAAGGCTTCCACGCCCATCAGCAGGACATGAGAACTCCTATGGGACACACCCTTGAAAAGAACAATATTATGCATTTGGTATCAGCATTCATTTAAAAAAAAAAAATCTTTGCCAATTCGTGTGGAAAACACACACACACACACACACATACACACACACACACACATGATTTTAATTTGCATGTCTTTGATTGCCTGTGATGCTGAACGTCTCTCTATGTTTGTCTTCCTGTTTCCCCTTCACGTTTTGTGCATTGCCTGTTCGTGCCATTTGCCTAGATTTCACACAAGGTGTTGTTCTTCCCACCACGTCCATCGCACTTAAATACGATGGATGGAAAACCATTTGTCCTTTCTACTATATAAGCCGCCAATATTTTTACCAGTTTCTTATTCAGGTATTACTTTTGTGGTTTTCACAAAATGTATGCCCCTTTAATTTCTTCCTGGGATGTCATCATAAGCTTCTTTAAATGTTCTCCCCGGAGTCACCCTCCCTGTCACGCACCTGTTCGTTCGTCACTGGATTAACATGGCGGGATGGCCCAGTGCCTGAGAAGGCTCAGAGGGGGACAGAAGACAGCTCATGCCTGACGTGTGGAAGCAGCGGGACCCACGAGGCCAGGGACACTCCCTCAGCACCGCAGCCCTCGGGGCTGAGCTCAACTAAGTACAGAGAGAGAAGCCCCAGCGCCCAGCACCAGGGGCCATGGTGCATACACAAGGTCATTGTCCCTGTGGACTCTCAACCAGTCCAGGGTGACAGGGAGCTTCTCAGCGAGGGTAAGTGACCTACCAGCCCGGGACCACCAAGCCAGTGAACGGGGGACCCGGGACTGGAACCCAGGTCCTCGGGCTCCTGGTCCACTGCCCTGTGGAGAGGACCGGGCCCCTGGGAGGAAGGACAGCTGGGCCTAGGCTACAGCCTGGGAGGGAGGCTTTCCGACCAGACAGAAGGCACAGGGCCTGGCACACCTGCCCAGGGACAGGGATCTGGAAAGATCACCCAGGCCTCAGTCCCTCGGTCTCTCATCCTGGGAGAGGCCTCAGGGGCAGTGTCTTCTCAGTCCTTCTTGGAGGCAGATGCTAATCCTGTGTCCTTCTCTGTCAGGATGGCTCCAGCTGCCCCCCTATGCCCCCAACAGGACCACCCCAGCCTCTGAGCCCCTGCTGGGAGCTCAGCCCGTGTCCCCACCCCGACTCCCACTCCTATCCTGAGGAAAACCCTGGGCTTTCCTTTCTCCCTTCCACAGGCACCTTACACCAACAAAAGGTTCTTCAAACAACTGGTCACACAAAAGAAAGCTCAGAGGCTGAACATCAAAAGGCAGGGTTCCCCCAGCCCCCCATCCACCCCGCCCCCACCCCTGGTCTCCACGCTCTCAGGGGACATCAAGTGGCAATTGCCCACGCTCAGCCTTCTGCAAAGGATTTTACAGCTTGTTTTCTTTTCTCTTTGTTTTATTTTCTCTGCGCAGATGGAAAAATGCACTGGGCAAAGCAGCTCACATCTGGATCCCCCGGCTGCTCGACGCAGAGATGTCGCCCCATCCCAACCTGTCCCCAGCCCCTCTCTCAGAGACACCTTAATCCCTCACGCCTTCCTGTTTACCTCCTGCCTCTCTGCGAGGCAAAAATATTGGGTATTAGTTCCATTATCGGATTTCAAGGCGGGAAGGAAAGGGCAGCTTTGTGAGCACAGAGAGGTCAGCCCCAGGGAGGAGGGTGGGGGCTGGGGCAGCACAACTTCTGAGGAGCCTGCACGGGCTGCCCCGTGAGGCGCTGTGTCCTGTGCAGGGGTCGCCCAGCCGCCCCAAATTCTATGCCCCCTCACCTGTCATGTGGGGATTGCTAAGGACACACCGTGGGTGGCTGCATTGCAGACCCAGAGGCATAACATGGGGCAGGAGGGGGGAGGAAGAGGTCCTCCCCCACCCCACGTATCCCCCTAACCAGAAACCCAACAGGAAAGAAGGCCCAAGAGACGAGGTTCTAGTTTCTTCTCCCGTGAAAAGTTCTCCCATGTCCTTGTTGAACATGTGCCAGTCACCACGCTCCTTAAGCTTTTCCTAAACCGCTCCCACCAACCCGGACTGTGCAACCCCGCA